CTCGAGTTTCGTTTACGCGTCTTGGATGCAACTCGACAAGGCGTTACCATGTCCAATCTGTGGACTGCTGTACGGCCAAGAGACTTCAGAAAACAGTTTTCTTTTGTTATCATTGGGAAGATAGTTTCGCCGAAAATCTGCAAGCTCTGTTTGAAACTACAGATAGTTCATCTAAGCGAATCAAACGGGTTCCGTCTATTCGGATCTTGTGAGGAATACTGAGTGTTTCGATAACTGTGATACAGGTTCCGATCACTTGATGCATTTCTTTCTCTCACCGATACACGTGAGCCTGATCTGATGGATCTGCAATCAATTTATGATGCCCAGTCGATCTACTTTATTAGTTCACTGTGTTTTAATTCCCAACACATTGACTGACAAGACGTGCCAATGAATTCTCCCTTGATTACGGTTACGAATCGGATGCTTCGCACCAAAGTACAAAACTGAATGTGGGTTAAAAGTAACAAATCTTAAACGAGGGAAAGTTCTCATGGATTAGCGAAAAGCAATTTTTAGGCATCCTAGTCTATCAATCATTGCATCTTTAAACAGCAGCGATTTTTTAAATCAACGGCATTTCTCCGGTTCCCCAAAGAGGGAGAGATTCACGAGACTTGAGTGTGCATTCATTTGCGCATAGAACAAAATGATTTGTTTTGGTCATAGCGACTGCGGTCAATACAGCAGTAAACAGAAATCGATTAATTGAATCAATAGAACATTAGATGTAGTCAACTACCCCAAGATTAACGAACTAGTAAAATCTCAGAGGGATTGGTCAGTTGGATGCAGACGGTCACAAGAGGTGTGCATCGTTTGTTGCTTGGCAACCCAAATGAGCGATACTAATAATACAATTCATTGCATGTAGTTAATCAGATTCCGGCAGAACCTTAGAACAACTTGAGAGACAGTCGCAGCGATCGAAAAAAACATTTGGTTTTGTTTACCTTAGTTCAGTCTGAACAGGCATCACTTTTGAACTTTTGTGCTCTAGCGTATTTTGTTGTCGTTTGACCGACAAATGAAAAAAACTGACAAAGGAAGAAAAGCTGAAAATGTTGCCTAGACTAGGGTAAACAATAATAGAAAAACGGATATATGAGGGAAGAAATCAACACCCAACCAAAAATCATCCTTTCCCGATGTGATCAACTGCGGTAATCGGATTCCTGTATAGGCATGCCCGGTTATGGTCTGACAGTGACTGACTTTCTTCCAGCTGCAATCCACAACCATTCTCCTTTTAAATCTTTCCCAAATTATCCCTCTTCTAATAATCTGAGTTCACAGTCTCTGTTGGAGACGTTCTATTTATTGGATTTTTGAGACCAGTATATTTTCACGAGGTTAACGAGCTACATGCAGCTAGCTAGTAATGGAGCCTAGGAAAAACATGATTGCAAAACATGCTAGATGTATATAAGCTGGTCTGAAGAATGATAAATATAGAGAAACCGACTCTATTGGGGTGTACTGTGCACACAGTGGATATGAAAGTCTTTCCCGAAGAATGTATGACCCAATTAACTGGATACCTGTCCCCAACAGATTGCGAAATCGAAGTACTCCGTTATTGCCTTGGAAATTAAACTATTCTGCCAAATGCTAGAGGATGAGATTTTTCGATCAAGCTCCTATCTTGGATTGCGCGACTGAAAAGTCAATATTCCCCGAGTTAAAGGATCACGAATTCTTCATCGTTATCCAATTTTCGTTTAAATCAGTAAAACTTCGACACCGTTACGACTTAACGGTTAAACAAGGAATCAACGCATGAGTGAAAAGAGATACCACCTTGATTCAACTGAACTCCCCGCTCGCACCATTCCTCGTTTGGGACATTCGGATGCCTCGTCAACATCCCCTCAGAACCGCTAAGCGGACAAATACTATCCGCAAAACATATAGATCCCCATTCCATTGGTCATATTCAACCAATCTTTGTGCGTTTAATGATTCGCACCGACGGCCATGTCGGTGCGAGGATTGCATTAAAAGTCTAAGCTAAACGCATGCTGTCAGATCGAATTATTGTCACAAGGTATTCGTGTTGAATTGATTAGAGAACAAATCAAGGATAAACGAGCAACATAAACTACGATAAATGGAGGAGGGATGATGAGCGGACGGATACACTTACTTGGAGCACGTCCAATGTGGTCAATCGAACGGAATAGCCCAAAGATTCATCCGATTCCTCGATGAATTCACCTAGATTTGTTAACCATCGATCAATCTAGAACAAAGGAAAGATACGAACATCTTGAACAACAGAGAGGACAACCGTATTGAGAAAAGGTCAAAATAACATTTGCAATTCAATGAAAATAAACGGTGATCCACTAGAGAAGGTCAAAACCTTTAGAACATGCAGATCCGCGATGACAGACAGTCAATACGGAGCAAACTTCATGTGGATCACCACGGATAACCATCGGGACGGTTTATTCTTTCCCGGCGAATAACACGATGCACCTCATCAATGGCTAACTGAGTCAGTTGATGTGTTTGCGGTCGATTGAAGCACGCAGGGCAACGAGGAGATTGACCGATAGAAGCGTGGGTTATTGAACTGCAAGCAGTCTAAACCCAAACTGAGGGTTGCTGCGAACAACTTCAACGCGGTTTTGACTGCCTGCCAATCGTGCAAGGATGAAACCCTTGTGTCAGTCATTAGCGGAGGGGTATCAGCGACTGTTTTCCTATCGACAGATGTGCGACAGAAGAAACAAACACTAGAAAAAACGGCATGCGGTAGCTTCAGTTTCTGTTTGTACAACCATTAACCATGCACATCTGTGCGCCGGTTCTGGTTGCCCAATTGGATGAAGAATAAAAGACAGCAAAAACGAAAGCAGAGTCGAACAGAAAATGGAGAGATTCAGTGAACCAAGCTTGCAAAGACATAGAGAATACACACGAATGCCACTTGTTATGACACTCAACCACATGACTCAGTGCCTCTAACCATCAGATACGATCATCCCGAGGTCCAGGGAGCCTACGGGGCCGATATGATGTCCGCATGAGCCTAAAAATTGTAATGGCGTAATGCTTTCCCATTTAGGAAGGGCAAAAGTATGATGAATTGTCAAATGCCGGCCCGCCTTTATCTATCAACAGTGACCAGATAGAACGATAACCGTCTGTCAAATACCTGGGCGTTAGTTTCAACCGTAACCTCACCTGGTCTGACCACGGTAATGCCGTTTTTCTGAAGGTCAGGAGGCTCACGTTTTATGTTTTACGTCTTAAATCACTTTCCATTCCAAACCATCTCATAGGGCGTTTTGTTTT